GTAGAAACTTCTTCAATGACATATATGAAAGACTTACTTGATATTACAAAGCATAATGAGTATGCAGAAATACTAAAACATGATGAACATCTTAAGTTTATATGGATTTTGTTAGTAGATGGTGGACCTGACAAAAATCCTAAACATTTAAAAAATATAATTGAATATTGTCGCTTTTTTTATGAGCTTAATTTAGACTATTTATCAGTTCGAACACATGCCCCTTACCAGCCTGCGTATAAACCGGTTGAGCGCAGTATGTGTACACTTTCTGAAAAGCTTGCCGGAATTGAATTACCAGTTGATAGATTTGGATCACATCTTAATAGCCAAGGAGTAGTTATAGATGAAGATTTGGCAAGGCATAACTTTGAATTTGCTGGTAAGTGTTTATGTGAAATTTGGAAGCATAATAAGATTTATGGAAAGCAAGTATACGTTGATTATATTGACTATAATGAAGACCCATTTCAAAATAATGGAAAAGAAATTCTATCATGGTTGTGGATAGAAAGTCATACACAAATTTGCCGCTACTCCCTCGACATACAAAAGTGCTCTAACCAAAATTGCTGTAATGAAATCTATGCAAAGGAGGCATTTGATCTGTTAAGAGAGAATAATGGATTTCTTCCGCTATTAGTTAAAGAAAAAGATAATCATTATTTGAATCCAATTCATATTTTGCAATATATGGATAAAATGAAGATACCCAACTATGATGAAATATGTCCTTCAATTTCGTCGCAGATGCATGAGAGGCTTTGTTGCAATGTGTGTAACAAATATTTTCCTACTATGAAAATGATATCCAACCATAAAAAAGCAAATCATCCTAAAAAAGCATGCAAACAAAATACAAATCAGACCTTTGCACAACCTTCAATCGAATCTACAACTGACATGTTATCTGCTTACTTAATTTATCCTTCAAGTTCCACAATGACATATTTGTCTGCAGAAGAAGTTAATGCAATGTTAGATTCTTTTGATACCCAACAAATTAAATTAAGTAATGCAGTTATTTTGGAAGACTTCACCAATTTACCTTCTCTTGGTCTTTCACACAAATTCGAAACTTCTAATTTACTGGAGGCACTTTCTGATATCGAATAAAATCGTAAGT